AATTATATAAAAAAAAAATTTTATAAATTGTGTAACGTTAAACGAAGATCTACATAGGAGGCACTGTCTCTGCTGAAGGTAAGAACATGTGCAATTGAAAAGAACTAAGATAATCCAAGAGGCGTGAATAGGTTATCAAATGTTCTTTTCACTTAGATTAATATAAAAAACACTGTATGTGCACTCATGTCATAAGTAGTAATTCAATTTAACATTGTGTACTCGATTTTATTGTGTTAGTAACTTAATATCAATATGTTTACAGTTTAGCACAGCACATTTCTGATTGATTCATCAAATCACAATCATTATAATTCTTCAATTCTTTCCTTTCCCGCTCCAGTAAAACGTAATTTCTCTTCGGATATTTCTTCAGTTTTATTTTGGACCCATAATTTCACATCCTTTGTTGTTTTATTGATGTCTTCAAGAACAATCGCTAGCTCTGTTACCCCTTTAGTTAAAAATTCAATTTCTTCGCCTATTAACAAATATACAATTCAGAATAGATCATAGCAATAGAGATTGTTCTGAATTTTTTTTTAAAAAAATTACCGATTTCTTTGAGTTCTTCAACATCGATATTGATAGTTGTTTGATCACTTTGCTCAGCAATTGAAACCTTTTCGTGAACTATTTCAGCTCCTCGAAATCTACCAATTAATTGCAATATATTATTATCAGTCATTTTCGATGAATCTTCATTTTTAAGAGTGTCTTTTTTGGGCAAGGATTGTTCTTTGAATTTAGAAGCAGCATCAGAGAAATGAGCCTTTAATGAAGAAAACATGATTTAAAAAGGTTTGTTATTCTTAAAGCTGGAATACGAAAAGTCAATTATATCAATATTTGAAAGTTATGCACGTTGGATGACCATTGTAACATTTTTATATTCATTATCATCTAACGCTAACGTCAACATTTAGTTGTATTTTATTTATATATCTATCTATACATGCAATTAAAACAAACTTGTCACGTACTGAGCTAGTTTGATTTTTTTTTTTCGTCATTATGACTTTTGAAAATTATTTACAAACTAAAAAAAAATTAAAAATACATGCATTTCAACTCCGGATAATTAGACTCAAGTTCAAGTACCCAGAACTATACACGTTCTAAAACTCTTAAATTACTTCCATTAGGCTTTTTTTGCTTAGTAATATAATATGTTTGTTATAGAATGATAGAAACAGATAGTTTAAAGTTTGAACAAATCTAAAAGTATTTTTTTTTTCTTAATATGTTTCAAACTTTTATCTTAATCTAAAATTTCAACCAGACCATTCAAAGTAACTTTCGATATATCCCTTATAGTTGGCAGGCATAACTCTTAACCAGAATTCTTTTTCTGGAATGGCTTTTTTCTGGGCATTTATAATACGGAAAACATTTGTTCTTGATGGAGACCAAACGATAGATTCTTTGAATCTGGTAACATTTTCTATGAATATCAGTAAAAAAATTTTTTAATTTCTACTAATATTGAGAAATATGAAATGGCTTAGATGACAAAAAAAAAAAAATTTACCTGGATCTTCAGGGTTCTTAGGTTTATCTTTGAATAATTTAACTCCTTTGTAAGTTCCATAAACGACCATTTCAATTTTTTCTCTCGCCAAAGATAAATCACGTCTTTGTAAGGCTTTAATAATTCGTGCAAATGTAAAATGTCCTCTGAATTTAACATCCAACAATATTATTCCTGCAGCTTCCTCAACATCCTTACATTGCCAAAATGCCATTCCAATTTCATCACTTAATAAATCTGAATAGGTTTTAATTATTGCTGCGGTTTTTTGTTTTAGCGCATCGGTTACGTATTCATTAAAATTATTTGATATTATTATGTCTGCTGTTGATTCAGAAAACGGTTCATAATATTTGGTCGGTTCTGATTCAACGGCTTCACGACGTACTGAGTTTTGACGATGTAAGAAAGACTGTAAGAATGTTGCTAATTGGACTTTTGGTGTATATCTTTCAAAGAATGTATTTACAAGATCTGTTTGATTATTAGTAAATTGAAATTCTGGTATTTCCAAGATGGATTCGATAGTGTGAGTGGAATCTGCAATCAAGGATTCAAAAATCTTGCTAAATCGTAGAACAGTTTCAATCGATCTATTTACTGATTGTTTTATTTTTTTAATAAAGCTTAGATCTGGTATTTGATAAGTATTACTATCATAAAGTTGAAT